ATGATGGATTGATGAAGGAGAGGCAGAATAGGGTTCTGTTCTGCGCAGGTTCGCTGGCTCTCGCCAGACGAGCGAAGGCGAAGCCTAGCGAATGCTGGCGAGTAATTATGATTAAGTCCCAGTGGACTTCGCTGGCGAGTTCGCCAAACGAAGGTGGATAGCGAAGGTTCGCCAAGCGAAGGTGCTGGCGAATGGTGGCGAATGAAGTCAGTAGCTACTGACTTGGGCTCGCTGGGAAGTCTCGCCAGGCGAAGCCTAGCGAGTGTTCGCTGAGAGAGTTCGCCAGGCGAAGGTTCGCTGCGAGGGTTCGCCAGGCGAATGTGACAGCATTTTTCTTTTGCTGTGTTGCTCATGTGGTGATTGTTTGATTGATTCACATAGGTTAATACCTCTATGATATGAATAAGTATGTGATCCATGGTGATGATATGTGCTGTGGGTAGCCTTTGGGCGTGAATCCTAGATTTGTGGTATGAGTATTAATCAGATCGATTATAAATACATGAGAACATGATAATGATTATGTGTGTATTATTTAATAATGGTAATGTGCGTATTATTTGATGAGTTTGTGAAGGTTTGATGTAGTGTACAATTAGGTAATAAGTATGCATGAGAACATTGTGGATATATGTGTGCATAGCTTATAATTGTATTATTGGTACTGTGACATGTATACCTTGTATGAAATGGCATGAGATGAATAATAAACATAATGCAAAAATGTATTGTGGATGTATATTGTTTATATGCGGTTGTATGTTAAGATACATGAAGAATGCATGAGAGCATATTGATGGATATGCGTGCATCGTTTGATAAATATGATGTTTGTATTGATTGGATGCGATTATGTATGAAAAATGTGTGAGAATATATCGTGAATATATGTACATTGCGTGGTAAATGTGTTATGCGTGTAAGCATGATGTAATTCTTGTATGATGAATTACTTGAGAATGCATGAGAACATATTGTGGATATGTGTGCATTGTTGATAATGCGGTGATGATATTGAATTGTGAATGTATATTGTTGGTATATGGTGGTATGAATAGAATGCATGAGAACATGTCATGGATATGTGTGCATTGCTTGATAGATGTTGTAAATGCATATTGTATGTATGTGATTAAATGTGAATAATGCATGAGAACATATCGTGGATATGTGTGCATTGTTTGATAACTGTGAAGAATGCATGAGAACATATCGTGGATATGTGTGCATTGTGAGTGATAATGTGGTGATAGTGTTGAATTATGAATACATCGATGAATGTTATGTGAATATGTTGTGTGTGCAATCATAATGTAATTCTTGAAGAGATGAATTATTTGAATGCATGAGATTAAGATGTCGGTCTTAAGTGCATTTGTTGTGGTTGATTGTACATGCATCATTTAGTCAAGAGGCAATGTCTGTTAGTTTCGTGGAAACTAGTGGCTTGTCCCAAACCTAGAAGAGTGGGTTTGAAGGCTTAGAGGACGGGCCTTTGTGGTTATCGGTCTAGAAGAGTGGACCCGGTTTAATGTAAAAACCGAAAAAAGATAACGGGTTATCGGTCTAGAAGAGTGGACCCGGTTTAATGTAAAAACCGAAAAAAGATAACGAGAGTCGGTACCGCATTGCATGAGTTGCATTGAGTTGTTGAGTCACATTAATATATGACATATGCATGAAGAGATGCTTATGTGTGAATGATGAGATTGTGAAATTGTGAGAGTATGCATGTGAATGAGATGTTTGTTGAATACTTATGAAGCGTGCATGAAGAGATGCTTACGTGTGAATGTTAAGATTGTGGAATTGTGGATGTATGCATGATGTAAAATGCTTGGTGAATATTCATGTTGTATATATATATATATATATATATATATATATATATATATATATATATATATATATATATATATATATATATATATATATATATATATATATATATATATATATATATATATATATATATATATATATATATATATATATATATATATATATATATATATATATATATATATATATATATATATATATATATATATATATATATATATATATATATATATATATATATATATATATATATATATATATATATATATATATATATATATATATATATATATATATATATATATATAAGTGACGATGTAAATGACTATGAGTTGAATTGTGTTGAGAAATAGGGAGTTAATTATATGATACCTATGTATACATGATTTTATGCTTTGATTATTATGGTAATATTTCTCACCTTTCTGTTGTTTTATAATGCTCTATGAGGCATTGCAGATTAGGTTGCTGGAGGCCTTTATGAAGTTTTGCTTGTAGTTCGAGGTCGCTACGTGTGTAGCGGTTTAGTAATTATTTATGGGTCGAGTCATGCTCTGGTCGTGTAACACGGGGATTGATTGCTTATGTTTTAGGATTACATTATGTAACCTAAGTTATGTTTTCATATTTGGAGTAATTGAGATAATGAGATGTTGGCCTGAGCGCCTAGAGATGTTGATTTTATATGATGAAAGTAAATGTTTCTTTTAAAGGATTTTCATTAATGAATCCGCTGCTAAATGGAAAGGTGTTTATGAGCATGACAGATTGTTTTAATGTGGTGCAAGTTTTGTGTGATGCCCTTTTATGGATGCATGTTAACTTTTACTCTGATTATGCATATATTATTTGCGGGGTTTAGAAGGGTGTTACATATGTCTTGAACATTTTATGATCATAAGAGACATGAGAGAGACTCTAGTGTCTATCCATCAACCATTAGATCCAAATACCATATGTATTTTAATGCACAGCAAAAAAAATCTCATCAATTAGGTTAACTCTTGCATTAGGGCCACCACCATGTTTCAGCTTGTTTATACATTTCTTAGCCATATGACATGGTTTTCCACAATTGAAATAGGAGAACATACAATGTCATGTCTTTGGGGTGGTGGTTGCTGCCTAGCAATTGGAGCAATTGGGACCTTTAAAAGGGTTCCTATTCTTAATTTGGTTCATATCATTGTGGTTCTGGTTCTTTAATGATTTTTCAAATGGCTTCAAAACCGCACTGAATTTCTTTTTGTTGTTTAAAACCACCAAGACTTCATCTTTTTTATCTTTTCTCTGGGATTTTTCTTATAAAATTGGAAGCAAGTAATGAGACACTTGATTGAAAATTCTTTTGTTTTGTGGTGAAGCAATTTTATGAAATATTTCCAACCAGTTGGTAGTTTGTCAATAATAACAATTATTTGAAATTGTTCACCTAGGGACATACCTTTGGTGATGATCTCGAGAACAAACTTTTGAAGTTTGTAACATTGAGTCTATCATACCTTTCATCTACCATCTGATACTTCAGATAGAGAATAACATCATACTTCTTTGCTTCAATCTCTTCGGCATCATACTTCTTTTCAGAGCTTCACAAAATTGTTTTACGGTATTATAACTACTTAATATCATACAGCTCATTTGTCAGTCCATTCAAAATATATTTTTTCCAGAGATAGTCATTCTTTCTGTAAGGTGGTTTCTTTCCTCATTTATAAATCATTTGCTTTAATCTTTGCAACATATTCAGATTTAGTAGAATTAACTATTTTATATGAATCAACAGATTTCTTATCGTTAGTTTGCTCGTTTGATCCAGAAGAAACAACAAGAATGCCATCGATCAAAATATTGTCAATCTTTTTAAGGTTAAGGAAAATAACATTTTTTTGTCAAGTTTGAAGTGACTTCACTCAAACTTGAACGGTTTGTCAGTGACAACAGCAAAAGTTCCAATAACTTCTTTGATAACCATGACAGTTTGAAAACATCTTAAAATTGTTATTTTGTAGTTTTGGAAAAAAAATTGTTGTTTTGTGGTTTTGGAAAAAAAAATGTTGCTAAAGAAATTATCAAATCGAATCACAAACTAAGTCACTCTCTTTAAAATATTTTGCGGCACTGTCCAAAATTGTGCAAGACAAACTATCAACCGTGACGCCAAAACAACTCAGTTTAACTGTGTGATTACTAGTGCACACTAAGTAATCGGTCTAGAAATACATTCTCTAATGGCACAAAGATCAATTGAATATAATATAAATATCAATTGTAATATTTGGTGAAAATCAGTCGTATATGGCGCAAAGCAATCACTCAAAAAATAAGAATGGAAAAGAAAAATATAGAGATGAAACATAGAAGAGAGAGAAAAAAGTATTTTATTCAAATCAAAAATCTAGAGTGCAAAATATGAGGTGAGGTCTTTATTTATAGAATGAAAAAAATCTAAAGTCAAATGAAGAAAAAGAAAGGGAAGCAAGTGGGAACTGACCAATGTTTGATCAACAATTAAGAAAAAAATCTAAAGTCAAATGAAGAAAAAGAAAGGGAAGCAAGTGGGAACTGGCCAATGTTTGATCAACAATTAAGAAAAAAAAATCCAAAGTCAAATGAAGAAAAAGAAAGAGAGACAAGTGAAAAAGGGTAGGAAAGAACTGTTCAAGTAAGAAGATTGGAATGTGTCACCAAGACAGGAGTGAACAAGCAAAACCCAGAGATAGATTGATTAAAACAAATTGATCTAAAATGTGATGATGAATAAACTCCAAAAGCACTTGAACTAAAAATAGAATGCAAAAACATGTGAGTACAACATATCATCTTTATCAGGATCATCTGCCACATAGGCCTCACACTTTTGTATAATTAAACTATAGCAAAAAGAACCTCCATACACATTCATATTTCACAGTCTTTATAAATATTTGTTTTCCAGTAAAATAGTAAGTGAAATATCAAATACAAAATACATTACACATTGATTTTCTTGCAGCTGAAAATTCATACAAAATCAAGACAACAAGACATAAACAAAAATTTCAGTTTAAACAAACTGTTTTAGCCTTTTATCCATCCCATGTCTTCTTGCCACATAGCAGCAAGCCCTGCTGAATGCGGGGCGACTTAAGTTAGGCAAGCCAACATCGAAGAGGACTCTACCTGTACAACGTATAATCATATTACAATCAGTGTTCTAATCGCAAAATAAAATCCGTTAATATATATAATATGGAGGGAAATGAATTGTTTAATCCCTGAAATTAACAAATATGACAACTTCCGCCTGCAAAAGGCTAGTGTATTTTGTTTGGAAACAGAAACTAGTTTTACAGGGTTAATGCACACACAATAATAATAAAAATAATTGTAGTTTAAGTTTAAACTAACCTGTTCCTCCTGGGTTTGGGAACAATCAACCCTCTCTTCTCTAGGCTTTTATACCGGTCCTTTATAAGGGTGCAACAACCCTAGTTACGTACACCAAAAAAATAGGAAAACTTAGGAAAACATACTTGTATATTTACAAAAACGAGTAAACGTGGTCAAAATATAATACACGTCCCTACCTTGAGCTTACGGATGGATCCAGTTATCTCTTCGCTTAATAAAACTTGAACAGGAGCAGGCTGAAACCTGATACAAAGATAAGAATTATCTTTGTTAAGAATTATAACTACAGAATTGATTTGCAGACTCGATAAAACAGAAAAACACCACTAAAGCTCGATTGGAAAAGTTTCACAAAAGTAATATAAGGGAAGTACAAAATAATGCTTACTTGTGCTTTCCTATGCGAGGTGGACATACTTTTAACTTCTCTTGTTTAGCAGTTTGTCGCCTCAGAAGTCTTCTCTTTTTTTCCTCATCTTCATTCTTAATTTCTGCAAAGATTTTTGGGATGCTGCATTCATAAGAACCAAAGATGGTTAAATATCATCTTTTAATTTAGTACAAAAGATAGAGATGAGTAATGGTCATATTATATTACCTATCAATTTCTTTTGAGAAATTCTTCAATCTCTTTGCTTCAGCTTCTTTTCTCAATTGTTCTCTGTGTCGAGCTCTCTTATTCAACACAACTCTAGTCACTTTCTTTTTTTTTATAGGTCTGTTCGTAGTGGTTAAAACAATCAAATACACAAAACGTTTAGACATTATTGAAAAAATTATCAACATGCATTTGTATGTCTGCAAATGTATCTAACTAAGCTGAGGATAGCTTACTTATTCTCGGACGCAGCATCGCCATTTTCACCCTCATTTTCATGATTACTTTCATCATCGTTCCCATCATCCACATCAAGAAAATACATCTGACCAAAAATCAAGGTTAACGAATAAAGAATTGAATCTATAGACATAAAAATTCACCAATCAAAAGCTTCAAAAATGTGGATTTTTTTCATTTTTATAGAAATTACATATTACAGTACAACTCACATCTTCTTCAGAAATAGCTTCTCCAGGAACAGTCAAAGGCACCGGTTCAGGGCCCAATTCATTTTTGTAGACTTTAATCATTTCTTCGGCAACAGCAGTAGCCAATGTATCCTGGTTAAACAATAAAATTCTTAAAACTCTTACCATAAATCATAACAAGACAAATATCACTAACAGCTTCAAAGGCTTCAAAAACTACCTGATGACTTTCGTGCGTGGGATTAAAAGAGCATCCGGGAGGATCAACCTCTACTGCTGGAATATGAGCAGGCTTTGACATCTTCAAAAGACAGCGCAATTATTTTATCAACATCAACTGTTACATTAAATGTGCACAAACAAAAAAACAAAAAACAATCTCTATAGCACTGACACTCCTAAACCAACACCAATACTTGTGATTACAATAAACTGGATTAAGGAACACTAGATAGAATCTGCAATGCAATAATGTTTACCTTTTTAAACTTCTTGTTATCCTCATCTGAGCGACAATATAAGAGAATCTTAAGGTTAACATCGCATTATTATTTAGTTATAACCAAAACATATATAAATGTTTTAGAATTAATACCTTTATCACCCCACATTTCAAACACGTCAGAATCTACCTTCTGACTATCTTGATTGGTGCCTAAGCTTTTAGGCAGAGCTTTTCGGTTTTTCGAGCTCTTCTTCAGAGTAGAAGATGGAACTGGAACAACAAACTGGTTTTTCTGTAGCACGCTATCAACCCGGAGCACTTTTTCCCTGTGCTTTTCAATCTTCTTCTTAACCGCAAGATCTAGCCATGTCGAATTCATGTCAATCAACTAGAAAATTTTTATGAGAGCGAAATAAAAATGAGAAATTGGTACCTTTGGATTTGTCTTCGAAGAATAGGGATTCACTAGAAACTGCCTGAAGAGACCCGCCTGAAAGAGCGTCCTTTGTTGATTTCTCAAAGAAATCTTCGATTTCTTCGGTGCTTATGTTAGCTCTCCATGCTTTCTTACCCTTCCTTGAAGTTTTCGATTTCTTCCCCATTTTTCAGTTTTCGAGTGTGTGATGGATTGATTTCACGAACAGGGATTTACAGTAACAAGAACTAGCGGCAGAACAAAACAGGGTTTGGTTTTTGTGTTATTTGATGGAGCATGCTTTGGGGTTTTATTAAATGGGCCTATTATGTTTGGCCCAAAATAAGCTTGTTGACATAGGAATCTACCAACACACAACAATTTTACCATATTACCCTTAAATTATTAAAATTATAAATTTTTTGATTTTTTTTTTTAAACTTCTTATTTGCTATGATAATTGGTGAAAATACCGGATTTTTACAAATAACTAATTGGATATCTGTGCGTTCGCACGGATACTGGTATGCTATGCGCATTTGTCATCAGAGATACTATGATCACTAACAGATTCAGTTCACCATGTGAGTACAGATAACGGGTTTAATGTGATTATGCCTGAATGAAAAAGGATAGAAAAATGGGATTAGTAAGTTAGGCCAAAGTATAATGGCATGATGCGGATTGGTTTGTATAGGTGGGAGACTTATGATCGCAATCGCGAAACATATTACTACGATATCCTTAGTTTGCGAGTTAGTACCTATTGATGTAACCTTGATCGAATTAGTTTGTGAGACTTATGTGTTATTGTTTTTCTTCTTATATTTATGAATGTTTGTTTGAGGACAAGCAAGGTTTAAGTATGGGAGATTTTGATGACACTGAAACACAATGCGTATTTGCCTCGAGTTGCACATGTTTTATTATCGTTTTGCTTTTATTTCTAGTAATATACTTGTATTTTGTCTGTATTTCATGTACATAGTCAAGAGAGAGCCATACTCGAAAAAACAGAGCAAATTAGATGAAAAACGTAGAAAAATAAGCAGTTTGCGCATACGGCGTCCAACGTGGCGTTCGCCGTGGAGGTAGCCATGAGGTGGATGTCGTGTCTCATGCACCAATGGTCACAAAGGTCATTTCTAGGCATTTTGTGAAGGTGGTGTTCGCCACCATGGACATGGCGGTCATCATTTTTGGCAGATTCACCCAGTCAAAGATAGTTGGAGATTCACCCCACTACTCCTTATTTTTTCTCACACGAACTCAATGGTTGTTATTTGGTTTCTATAACACCTCATTTAAATATTAAGTCATTTTGTGATTTTATTTGTGCAATTATATTGGCATTAACATAGTTAAGGGTATGTGTTTAAGGGTGAGCATGAGAACTTAGTTGTAGTTAGTTTATTGGAATAAAACCTTAGAATAATATTATAATGATGATATAATTGGTGAGGAAAATTTTAATTATTATTATAAATATTATTATTAACTATATGGGGTAATTACCACTAGTAATATTCTTATTAATTAAGGAAAATAAACATAATTAGGGAGAAGTGGTAAAGAGGTTTAGAGAAACAGTTTCACGTAAAAAGAGAAAAAATGGAAGAAGGAATAGCTATGGCGGCAAAAGGAGATCAAGAGTTCTTCACCATTGTTTGAGAAATCAAGCTTGGAATTAAGGTAAGGGGAAAATGGGTTTTGTAATGGTGATCAGAGCATGAGAAGGTAGCGAGGGTTCATTTCCCTCTTAGGATTTTATGTATATTCTTCTCCTTGTTTTGTTTGATTCTATATATGTGTAATTCATTGTTGAATTCGTGTTTTGTGTGTTGATAATGGTATGAAATTCGTGAAAAGTGTGAATTGTTGCTTTTTTTTATCATGAAAACAGATATGGGAAATTTGGGTTTTAAAAGATGACGAAATATGACTTAATTGGCAGAAAATCTTGATAGAATGATAGATTTGAAGGTGAGAAAAATACACAAGAATGGGGGGTTGAATTTTATTTTGTAAAGTTATATTTACTTCTGAACTATAGTTCAGATTCTAAGAGCTGAGTTCAGAATATGATAAGGTGCAGCGGAAATAGAGACAAAAGTAAAGTAAAAATAGTAAAGAACACACAATAGTTATCCTGGTTCCTCTCTCAATTGAGAGTACTTAAATCCCCTTGCCAAGCAAGAGATTTTCCACTAAAATCAATCGGATTACACTTGCTTATACACACTTGTATAAGACTTTTCTTTTTGCTCATACCACTTGTCCAACACTTCCCTTGCTTAGAGCTTGTATCTAAGACTTCAGTATGCTCAATAAGCTTCTGACCAAGACTTCTCTTGCTTAGAGTTCATGCCTAAGACTTTCACCTTTCTTAGATCTCATGTCTAACACTTTCACCTTGCTTAGAGCTCGTGTCTAAGACTTTCAACTTGCTTAGAGGTAGTGCGTAAGACTTTAATCTAAACAGCTAGTTTAGAGAAGGAATAACTTACAAAAGAAAAACACTTGATAAAATATCAAAGGTGTTTAAATAATACAACACACTATTACAAAGATTCTTAATCAACACGAGAGTAAGAACTCTTAACAAAATCAGCTTTCTGAAAGTAGTGCGTGTATTTCTTAATTGTATTTGCAGCGTTATTTCTTAGTGTTCTTCAAATCTCCAGCACCTTTTTATAGCCAAGGAAAATAAAGACGTTAGAGATCTCCAACGGCTACAAACAAAACCAAATCTTCCAGTACATCTTCTTTTCCAATGAAGCAAGTATTGGAATTTTCAGTCACAAGAATATCCGTGAAACAAGGCTTTTATCCAGAGGATACAACTCTGATTCAAGTACAACATAACCTGTAGAAGATAATGTTAATAAATATTAAGTCCCGTGTTATCAGATATGGTATGACATTACTCATCATCAGAGGCAGCATAGCATGCTTATGAGCTGAAGTGTACTAACAACTATTTTTCTGATCAGAGGTCCTTGACAGAGTGTGACCAGAACCGAACCAAAGTTATTTCAATGTCTCAAATAGCTCCATCAAGTAAATATAATTCTGCACACACAAACTAGATAGTTAGAGATCCTAATTGTTTTTTCAAATACTATGTTATCATCAAAAGCTTGAGGATTCATGGCATGAACCAACTTGTTTCGATAATCTCCCTTTTTTTATGATGACAGCATTAAATATTTTAAAAACAATCAGAAGTAAAAAAAAATTACTCAGGAACTTTCAGGATATGAGGTTTGTAAGCTCCCTTTGAGTCAAACAGTCTAAGAGATGAGGTTTGTAAGCTCCCCCTGAGTCCTGTCTGTAAAGTCTAGGAGTTGAGGTTTGTAAGCTCCTCTCCATACAGAACAATAAACCTACTTCAAGGGTGATATTTACAAACCCCCCTAAATATGATTTCTAACCACATTCGAAACCATTATTAGCCTAAAATACTCAATCCATTCTCCCCCTTTGTCATCAATCAAAAAGAGAAAAGAAGAAAAAAGACTTTAGAAAGAATAACAGTTTTTTCTAATCAGAGAAAGTCATTAGGTCCTCTGTACTCTAGGATTTAGAATGTTCACCATAAAATGGTATCAGACTTTTCCCATAGGAGAAAGAGTACAAGAACTCTCAGACATGCCTTTGTTACCATAAACGATGTGTAAATCATTTTCTGAGTTGTTATAACAGACAGAATCAGACAATCATTTTGCTCATTCTGATGACCATGAGCATTGGCTCAAAAGTTCTTTCACAAAATCTGAAATAAATTATGAAGGATTATTTACCATCAATTCGTTTAAAAAGAGCTGTAGATTTCTTTTTAGAAATTCTAGATTAAAAAAAAACATTCTTCTTTAATGAACTATTAGGACATTTTGAAGAAGAAGTATTAAGATGATTTTACAAAATCATCTTATGTAGAAGACAATCTATGAGAAGAAAAATAGCTTAGCAACATAACACGTAAAATGTTTGGACAACCTTAATTCTGAATAAAAACAAGTTAAAGTCTTTGTCAGAACACTTCCCTTTTAATGAACCAAACTCTTTTAGAGCAGACTCAGAAAATCAGAGTATTAAAACAAGGATTTTATTTTATCAAAACTTAAGAAATAGTCCAATAGTTAACTCAAAGCACATAGCAAATAATTAACTTATCATTGTATACTTTAAATAAATAAGTCAAGGAAGAGAGATATCATGTAACCCCTATTCAGACTTAAAGACCATACTTAAGAACCTATCAGAAGTAATTTAACTGACTACTAACAGATTCCAACGAACATTCCAATACACCATTCAGAGAACAAGCATTTATTCCGCGACATAAACCATATTAAAATTTTTCTTGATAAAATCATATTGATTAATGGCCAGGGGTTTTGTAAATATATAAGCCCATTGATGTTCATAATTAATAAACTGAATATCTATTACACCCTTCTAAACATAATCCCTTATAAAGTGGTATTTGATTTCAATATGCTTGGTTCTAGAATGATGAATTGAATTCTTTGTTAGACAGATAGCAGCAGTATTATCATAAAAGATTGAAATTTTGTTTTCAAAAATCTGATAGTCTTCAAGTTGATATTTCATCCAAAATAGTTGAGTGCAACAATTAGAGCTGAGATGTATTATGCTTTTGTTGTGGACAAAGCAACATTTGCATGTCTTCTACTACCCCAAGAGATAAGGTTTTCACCTATAAATTGACAATAACCACTAGTGGATTTCTTTTCAATTCTATCTCCAGCATAGTCAGCATCACAGAATCCAATCAGTTTATAATCTGAGGACTTTATAGAGAAGTCAAAGATTTAATGTTGCTTTCAGATACCTAAAGATTCTCTTAACAGCAGTTAAGTGAGTCTCCCTAGGATCAGCTTGGAACCCTGCACATAAATATACACTGAACATGATATCATATCTAGAAGCAGTGAGATAGAGTAAAGAACCTATCATACCTCGATATTTGGTTGGATCCACTTTGGAACTAGACTCTTCAGCACCAAGGATAAACATAGGATGAATAGGAGTGGACAAGACTTTGCAGTCATCAAGATTGAATTTTTCTAAAAGCTCCTTTGAATACTTAGACTGGTGAATATAAATACCTTCAAACTTCTGACTGATCTGAATACCAAGAAAGTATTTTAATTCACCCAT